CAATGCCCTCTCTGAGGCTTGAACTCAGGACCTTCAGATTATGAGACTGACGCGCTGCCAGCTGCGCTAAGAGGGCTTCCGTTTATAGTTTTACAACATCCAATTTATCAAAGTTCATTTCCCACCTGCTTTACGGTTTCAGCTTTTAAAAACCACAATCAATTCTACTTGAAAGTTACTCTGTATCAATCCATGCCACACTAGGAAGATTCCACACCCAAGACCAGAGGGGTCTACGCCTTTCCAGTATTTCATAGGACCGTCTGGGTTCTGCGTTACCAGGATCAATTGTACCTGTCTTTTGCTACTCTTTTTCCCTCTTGCAGCCCAGTGATACGGCTTTTCCTTCCCTCAGAGATCTTAGTCACTCTTACACTTTCCATGGTCTCCTCTGTTGAAAAAAGACACGAGGTTCTCAGTTCATGATAGTTCACTGACCACCTGGATAAGTGAATGAAGAAATGGTCATCAAACATGTCTCTTGACCATACTACTGTCTTCCTTCATATCTCCACTTGCATCTACACGACTGAAGACATTGCCGCTACAAAAAGCACAAACCGCTTCTAATAGTACCGTCCTTGTTTCTTACTCCTTTGTTTTTTCCTGTGTGCTATTAATTACACTACGAGATTTATTACGTTTACGTGGTCCCATTGAATTTCGCTAACGAAACCATGTGCCCTAATGTGCACTTTCTAGATGTAATGGATTCTCAGATAATTATTGTTTCTAAGGTGCCACAGATGCTAGGTGGCAAACCCTGAACTGAGAAGTAGATTTATTTTAGATTCCAAAATGGGAGTCTTTTCTCTGCTCCTGTTCATTATCTCTCTGCCTGTTTTTCTCCACAGTGGTCCACAGTAGTCCATTCATGCATACACCAAATTCTCAACCTCCTCCTGGGCCTAGACTTCCAAGTCATCTTTGACTCATTGTCCTCCTTCAAACACCACATTCAATGATTTGCCAAATACTGAAAATTATTCTTGCACATCTCTTTTGAATTTGTCAGACAGAAAGCCAGAGTCAGGGAATGAAGGATTTGGCACAAACTCAATTCTTAGAAAAAGGTCCCACAGGCAGATCAGGAATAGGGTGTATGTGGCAGCAGGCAGTGAACTGTGGTTATTTCCATCTGCCTTGGGCCTCACCATTGCAGTACCCTGTCTACTATTTAATGTAATAACATCCAGGGAAAATTCCTCTGGATAACCTCCTATATTACAAACAGAACAAATGAGGACATTTTTCAGGGTCACACATGAAACCTGGCAGATTTTTTTTTCTCTAAGTGGACAATGAGCTGGACATCGACCTAATCTTGCAGTAAATGCTCAGCAGAACATGCTGTAAAGCAATTCCTTCCTCATCAATCCTCAGAATCTGGTGAGGGTGAGCTAAAGGGGAAGGGCAGGAAGGTGATGATCCACATTGAGCTGAGCAGAGGGACCGTCCCTGCATTTCACCTCAGGAAAAGTCTGCAAGGAACTGAGATGAAGCTCTGATACAAGGGTCCTCTGGAAATGGAGTGACCTTGATTGCTCGGGACTTTGGTGTGCAGTCTCAAGGCTTGAGAGAAAAAGAACATTTTCATATTTGGCTCTGCTGTCAGTCTGGTAACTGGGGTCCTCCATTGGCTCGTCCTCTGATTGCCCACAGAGGCCCAGACCCCAGCTGTAGGCCTCTGCACTCTACCAGTCTTGCTCCAGACCCAGAACAGTGGACTCATTTTCATCACTGAGGCCACAACTCAAATGTCACTGTCTCAGAGAGTCCTTCTTTGACCTCTCTGGCTGAATCAATGTCCTGCCTCTCTCTCCATCTTTTAAATAAAATTTTTAATAAATTGGAAAGCATCTTAAATTATTTTTTATTTTCGATCTCTCCCCTGGAATATAAGTTTCTTGAAAAGCTGACAATCTAGATTTCCCAGTTTATGCCCAGCGTCTACAGTTGTGATGATACTTTCTTGTATTTTCCTGTTCAGAAATCAATGACATGCAGAGGGAAAGCTTTCTTCTGTGTGTTTTCTTTCATAGGGTAAGTTCAAAAAGAATTCTTAAACCAAGATAAGATGGCAAGCTGTGAGCTTTTCTGGAATGAGCAAGATAATTGGTCACAGGTGAAAAGAAGCAAGATCAATCTACCCATGAAGATTTCGCAGTTATTTCTACTTTGTAATCATAAAGTATGCCCTTTTGAGCTCTTACTAGTTTGAGGAAAACGCAATTGGCATGACAAATTTGTAATAAATAGAAGTCATCAGCTTTTCCCAGTGGCCTGCCATGATCATACAGTGGTTAGTATTCTGCATTGTGGCTGCCACATCTGTGGGAATCTGAATATGGCAGTCTGAAATCTACTGCTTTGTTTTTTTTTTCAATCCCAGAAACTGATTCTAAGGCTTTAATGGGGAGCTAGGTTTTGTGTTATTTAGATGTAGAAAGAAAACCTTCTTTGACTCCTTTCTAGGCACTGATTATCAAACCAGACAAGAATGATAAAGCATAGATTTTTACAATCCATTATCCTTCAGCTTCCCTTTTCTCTCTATCTCCACTCAAGGCAGTATCCACAGTTACATTTAAAAATGAGGAGCTATCCAGACGCCTTGCTCAAAGGTATTGGCAAAGTCTCAGAAGAATAAAACAACAGGTTTTGAAGCTGAATTAACAATGATTTTGTTTTCTGAGAGTGTGCATAGGATTGAATTCCAGGAGTAAAGCTGGAAGACAGGCCAGGTTTTTACGAAGGGCTTTGAATGTCAGGATAAAATGTTTAAGCACTATAAGCAAAGTTTGCTGGTAAATGAATTTAGGACAGACTGTAACTGAATTTGCATTTCAGTATCATTCCATTAGGGCACAGAGTTGAGAGTTGAGTGCAAAGATCATGAGGAAGGTCAGGGCATTACCGTAACGGTCTAGGCAGAGAAAGTATACATCTTTAATATGGCAGGGTAATGGAGTGAGACACCTGCATTCATTCAACAAATCTTTATGTGGGGGCATAAGGCATGCCGGTAGGCTCTGGGGACGCTGAGTGACTGAGGATTCAGCCACTGAATGGTTGCTAGATGGCATTGACCCATGGGTCACGAATATGAGACTCTTTCAAAATTTAATCTCATGTGAAATTATATGGGGAGATTCCAAGGAACCACTGTTTCTCTACATGGAGAAATAACATTCTGTAAAACAGTATTTGGTACATGGGAGGAGATATTAGGTCTAAGTTTTGAAGTTGAATGTGACAACCTCATCTGTTGATTGATTGGGGGAATTGGTAGAACTTTCCTTTCTTAATCTGAAGATCCTCGTGTGGGGGTTTAAAGCAAGTTCATTATTCTGTGCATAAAATGTCAATTCACTTACCTGATCAACAAGAATATGAATCCAATCAACACAGATGTTAAGCAAACATATACAGTCCCTAATTTAGGATGGTTCAACTTCCAATTTTTCAATGTTACAATGGTGCAAATATGATATGCACTCAGTAGAAACCCTACTTCAAATTTTACATTTTAATATTTTCTTGTACTAATGATATGTGGTATAATCCTCTCTTTTGATGCTGGGCAGCGGCAGTAAGTCACAGCTTCCAGTCAGCCACATGATCATAAAGGTAAAAAACTGATATGCTACAATGTAATGTGTTGTCAGATGATTTTGCCCAGATGTAAGCTAAAGTGTTCTGGACACACTTAAGGTAGGCTAGGCTAAGCTATGATGTTTGACTAGATGTATTAAATGCATTTTCAATGTATGATGCATTTATTGGAATGTAACTCCATTGTAAATCATGGAGCATCTGTACTTCCATAATTCCTTTTACAAAAGCAGGTTGGGTTTGCAATCAGAAGTTGGTGCAAATTTCAGGAGAATCAAAATATTTCCCTTTCAGAAAAATGGGTAGAGTTGAAAGAGGAAATTGGGAGAGAACCCAGGAGCAGAGAGGCTAAAGTGTGTTTCTTTGCCTTTGCACCCTTGCAACTTTGCTCAACTTGACAGGCTGGGAAAAGGAAGAAATTTTATCTTCAGTCAGCCTCTGAGGATCATCAAGGTACTATGGAGACAAAGCAGGAAGAAGGTCTAGAGACAGACCAGGCTATGGGGGTAGCAGGGTACGTTGTATTATGACAAGGGTCATCACACGAAGCAGATGACATCTGAAGTTTCCCACTGCAGAGTTTCATAGTGACCAAAATTTCGGGTTAGCAATAAAGAGGAGAGGATAAACTTTTGTCTTAGTAATGAACCTGAGGAGGCGAAAAGTAACTCTGAAGTACGTATTATTATTGACCATTCAGGGAAACGCCTTAGAGATCTGATCAAAGCTATTAGTATTCTTGTAGTTCAGTTGGTTACCATGTGCTGTCATCAGCGCCTAGGGAGTAATATTACCTTGTTAGAAATCTCAAGACAAAGTGAAGCGTAACTATAACAGAAGATCTGGTACCAATGATTTTGCAAGCAGGAAGAGAATGCGAAAGCAAATTCATAAATACTTTTCTCCTGCGCGCACCCACAGTGCTACTGAAAATGGTTGTCAGTGACGGGGCAACCTGGGCAGTGGTATTAGTGGCGTCTGTCTTTTCACCCCTGGAGCGTATCTCACCTTCTAAACGTTTAAAAAGAACACTTGGGCTCTATTAACCTACAAGGCCACGACAGAGACAGGAGATAGGGCCCTGTTCAGAGAACCCGGGTCGCCCTCCCTGTCTCCGACTCCTTTTCTGTTTTCTGTCGCCGGAATTATTTCAGCCGCCTCCCGCACGCTTTCAGCGTCTCGCTCATTCGAACAGGATGGAAAAACCCGACCATTCACTGCCTGGGGTTTGTCTCCTGCTTCTCTTCTGCGAACTGACCGGCCCGCTGGTGCGTCTGCGTCCGTCGCGAGGCGTCGGTCCTTCCCCCACCGCGAGCGCCGGGCGTCGGCAGGTACTCGCCACCCGCAGCTCTGGAGTCGGGCCGTGAGCGCCTGCGCGGCGCTGGGTCGCTGTCCAGCAGATGTCTGCGCGGGAGACCCAGCTAAGTCTTGTGCGGTACCTCCTCCCAGCTGATCCCAACCCGGTCCCCCAGCCACTCGATAGAAACACGATTCACATCGTCCCCGTTCCTGAGTGAAGATCTCGTCCCCCACGACCTGCTTCGCCTCGCTCGTGATGATTTCTTACACTTGATTGGGGATCCCGGTGCGTTTGGCCCTCCCTCCTTAAGCTTCTGTCCTCTATCCGTTATGAAATTGTGTAACTTGTTTTGGTGTGAACTGATATAGCTGAACTTCGGAAGAAATTAGGCAGGATTCCCTGAAAAATGTGTGTGTGTGTGTGTGTGTGTGTGTGTGTGTGTGTGTGTTATATACATATAACTGCCCCTTGCGGAGCAGGGCTAACCAGGTAGTGTGCCCAGAGTAATCAAAATTTTTGTTGATTCTTAGGAGGGAGCATTAAAACAAACAGCCAAAAGTTCTAAAACGGGGGACATTTCACTCAAAATGGGCTGATGCAGAAGATACTATTAGTCAATTTGTACCAGATTCTTGTTTTATTCTGTTGTAAATCTTTTCCAGCCTTCTTCACCTTCCCCCACCCAATCTTTCTCAGGTGTGTGATGATCCAAAAAGAGTAACAATGTAAGTTTTATGAAGACCTCCTCATAAAAGGTTTCAGAAATACTGTTTTCTGTTTACTTTTTGATATGTGGATGAGAAACAACACCCCATCTTTCCAGAACACAAGGAGGGGGCAACTTCAAGCTAGCAGTTGAATTGGGAATCTTCTGATACATGATGCATTGCATCATTGCCCCTACTTAAGTCAACATCGTTTTTCAAAAAAATTGTTTTGTGTTAAATTTTATCTGTAAAACTTTCTACCAAACAAAGATGTGCAGATTAAATAAAATTTCTAAAAGTGGTTGATAACACTTGGCCTCCCTCCATTTGTCCTCTTTCAGCTGTCCAGCTGAAAAAAATGTAAAGATTCACGGTCTACTTGAAGCGTCATTAGTTCCTTTCCTGCCAGCCTCAGGTCATTAACCTCAGTGGTGAGGAACCTGAAAGCAGCAGATGATGGAGATTTTAGGATTTTGTTGTTGGAAAAGGAAACCAGGTGTCAGGGACCGGTATAAACAAATGAAATAACAGAAACACTGGCAAATCCTATCAGGCTACTCATCCTCAAGAGTAGTATTCCTTTCTGTACTTCTAGTGTGTAGAGTATGTATCTCAATGGTGACTTTTATCAGAATTGTAAACAGCTGTTTTCTCAACTGTCTTCCCTACTCCATTGTAATATTCCTTGGGGGCAGCACATTCAGTGTCTACAAAAAATAATTTTACCTTAAAACTCTGCACACATGCATGAAGAGTTGAGTGAGGAAAAAAATGCTTGCAAGCATCAGGAAAAAGTTTAACTTGTAAAACAGGTAGGCTCACAGGTGTATGATCCTATGCTATTCCAACCCACGTGTTTAAATGAAAAAACTGTGGGCTGCTATACACATAAATGGTTTTCTGGGTTTCTTGAATATAATAACTTTGAGGCTCACAGTGGTGCTTATATCCTTAAGGTAGGAGAGAGTTGGGGCTGGGCATGTCTCAGTTAAATCTAAAGCCACTGACAGATCATAGGGCTAGGCTGGAGCCAGTGGCTGAGAAGTTGGCCTCCTAAGGGAAGAGAATGTCTAATTTATTGACAGGAAAGCAAAAACTTAGTGAACGAAGTGCACGCCAGACAGACATTTTTTATACCGTTTATATGGCTGGTTTGAGTTAATGCTGGTGATTAGGATTTAGAACACAATATCCACCAAATTTGTTAATGAAATATTTAGCACAAAGATCTCTACATTACTAGAAAAAACTCAGGAAACTCTCAGCAATAGCTCCGCAACATTAAAAACACTCAACTGGCTTAAACAAAGTAGATTTATTACCACACATAGTAAGTCCAGAGAGCAGAGAGATTCCATCATGACATCAAGACCCATGATAAATCTTTAAATATTTTGAGTTTCTTGAACTTTACACTCTGTCACTCTCAACATATGGGTCTCATACTTTAGCTGGTTCCTCTGCAGTGCCTCAAACTCTGTCCCCTGAGCAGAAAACCAGGGCTGTATTTACCCAGGTGGCTCTGCCCTGCACTTTTCACAATTGTCTCACATTTAGGATGAAGCTTCAGGTAGAAACAGGGAGAAAAGAGCAGTTGTGTATGTCCCTTGGTTTCACAGCTCCTCGAAGAAACAGAAAATAATTTACACGGTAGATCTACGCTATACTGAATGCCAAGAGGGAGCCATCACCAGCCCTCTATTATTGTTGTTCATATGTATTGAACCAAAGCAGCATCCTGCTCTCAGACACCAACTTGGGTTTGGAGATCTGAGTGTTTGGAGACACCACGTCTAAATAAAAAAGCTTGGAGAATGTGGGCATCGATCCCACTACCTCTTGTATGCTAAGCAAGTGCTCTACCACTTGAGCTAATTCCCCATATCAAGGAAGCTTTATTTATCCTTAGTGGGTGGCCGGGAATGCAGCTTTTAGTGTGAAAGCAGGGCTCCACTAAGAGCAGATCTTCTCAGTGATGGCCCAGGGAAAGAGCACAGTGGCTACCCATTCTCTGCAAAGAAGGAGGAGAAGAAGGAGGAGAAAGTCACAAAGGGAAAACTCGTGCTGCCAAAATGTCAAGTTTAGGTTATTCCGGGACAGAAAAAGGCATATCCCAGCAAAGGAGGATCTGTCTAGATCTGCCCAGCTAAAGCGTCACAGATTTTTAAAAAATGATCAAATAAATAAAAACGATTAAATGATCTTATGTGTGTGTGTGTGCGTGTGTGAGTGTGTGTATATAAGTGGGATGGCATTATCACTTGTTCCTTGTAGCTGAGACTGTCTGGGGATTGTGAGATGGCACACATTTCTGGAAGGCAAAAAGCTCCTGCGGTTTTCATAATTAGGCCCTTTCATGAATGAGGCCAGTGTGCTGACCACTCCCCTAGGTAACCCCTGAAGAGTGCTTCTTTCACTTACATCTGAGAAATGGGTTGCCTCCTTGCTAAGGTGTGTCATGTACAAGTTATCTGTCCAACTATATGTCAGAACAACAACAACAAAATTATAGAGTAGAGCCATAAAGAATAAGAGACAAAATCATATCAGAGTGTAAGAATATGTAAAATATCAGAGTGTAAGAATCAAAATTTAGCTATGCAGAGAAGGAGTGGACATATGATGGAGAAAACCGGGCTGTTTGTAGGAATTCCTGTGTGAATAAATGAACCTATTCAATTTAAGTGGAGTGTGTGTGTGTGTGTGTGTGTGTGTGTGTGTGTGTGTGAAATACACATGGAGGGAAGCAGTGATTGAAAAGCCTGGTCCCTTAGAAATATATTGGGAGAGCTTTATGAAAACTTAAGAGAAATTGAAAAAATCCCAGGCAAAATGCTTAAATAATTAAAGCAACATGTCAGAGAAAGGTGTTTAGTTTTGAATGTCAGAGCTTGAACATGAGAAAACAGGAACTGGGGAGAAAGGGAAGGAAGTCATAAAGATACTAAAGGATTGAGGTTTACCCACATTTATCGTGTCAGCTCCTGAGATGGACAGCAGGAATCTTTCCGCAGCGCCAGTGCCCATCACACTCCATGCTGCAGAAACATCCTGCATAAATAGTATAGCATGGATGATGACAGAGGTGAATGAAAAGGAAGAAAAAGATTCTGGAGAGGTTATACAGGAAGGATCTACAGTATTTGTCAAGATGTTGGGTGGAGAGATTTGAGGGAGAGGAGACCAAGACACTGGGAAGTCTTGAGCCTAGTGTTGTAGACACAAAAGAGATTCTGAATTAATATCTATGAATGAATCCACTTATTTATTTGCATTTGATATGTGAATGAATGTTACAGGAATGACCTAGTGTGGAGAAAACAGATGGCGAGACTATGTGCTAGGGTAAAGCAAGAGCTCAAGGGTTTTTTGTTTGTTTTTTAATTTGGGAAGAAATCTGCTTTTCTTATCTGGTTTTCCTATTTAAAGCTATGTGATTTGAGGAAAATGGTTTAACTCCTCCAAGCTTTAGTGTCATCTACAAAATTTGGATAATGATACTGAGGGAAGCTGAAAAGCCATATCAACCAACTTACATAAAAAATAATAAACATTCACTTCCATTTCCAATGCGTGGCGCTGAAAAAGTCCTTGTATGTGGAATATTGTTCACCTTTAAGGAATCTGCTCTCAAGAGCTGATGAGGGACTATTTTAGTGCAGTTCTGTTGTCACTGGCTGTTGTGCTCATTTAGTTGCCACCAACACATCTCTGTGAACATAAAAATAAAATAAAATAAAATAAAATAAAATAAAATAAAATAAAATAAAATAAAGATTGTGGAGGAATAGAACACAAACACATGATAAGGTGATATTTGCACCACAGAATATAGTGAAGGATTTGTGCCTGATTCTTTTTGCATTCCCTTGGAATCATTTTTAGCCTTTATTCTAAGTCCCCAATTACTGTCATCCTTCTCCCAACAAGATTGTTTCTCTCCACCATAGATATTCTGGTCAGGCTCTCTGGTTGACCATCTTGACCTCCTGAGCACTCTATTTGTACTGAGACCCTGACTTATGTTCAAATGATGCTCTTCCATAGCAGGGCTTCCTGCTTTGCCCAAAGAACATTCAATTTTTTGAGCCATTTAGGGCTCTTTTCTCACCCAGTATATATGTGAAACCTTAGAGGGAAGCCTATTCTTTGCAGGAAGATAATCCTGCTGGGTTCTAACCTCAATCTGTAAATCCACTGGGGTAACTGGGAAACAAGTCCTAATGATATTAAAGGATTGAGGTTTCTCCGCATTTACTGTGTCAGCTACTGAGGTGAACAGCATGAGTCTTTCTGCAGCTTCAACCCCCATCACACTCCATGTGTGAAGAAAACATCCTCCATAAACACTGTAGCATGGAGAACAGAAGAAAAAGATTCTGGAGAGGTTTTGCAGTAAGTATCTACAGTATTTGTCAAGACATGGAGGGGAGAGATTTGAGGGAGAGGAGACAAAGACACTGGGAAGTCTTGAGCCCAGTGTGGCAGACACAGAAGAGATTTTGAATTAATATCTGATAAATGCAAGAATAAATCCACTCATTTATCTGTATTTGGTAAATGAACGAATGTTACATGCGTGAGCTGGTGTGAAGAAAACAGATGATGAGACTATGTGCTAAGTGAAAGCAAGAGCTTGTGATATTTTCATTGAGAAAGAAATCTGCTTCTCGTATCTGGTTTCCCTCTTTAAAGTTACGTGAGCTGAGGAAAATGGTTTAACTCCTCTGAGCTTCAGCGTCATCTATAACACTGGGGTAATAATACTTGGGGAAGCTGGGAAACTGTATCGACCAACTTACATTAAAAATTAATAAACAGTCAGTATAATTTCTAGCACATAGTGCTGAAAAAGTCCTTGAACATGCAGTATTGTTCACCTTTAAGGAAAAGGCTCTCAAGGTCTAAGGAGAGGTATCAGCACAGTTTTGTTGCCATTGGCTGATTTGCTCATTTATTTTGTAGCAACAAGCTTCTGTGATGATAAAAATGAAATAAAGTTTAAAAAGCAAAATAGATGGTGGAGAAACACAATAGGGATGCATAGCAAGGTGTGATTTTCTAGGCAAAATGGATTTGTACAAAAGAATATAGTAGTAAAAGATTTGTGCCTGATTCTTGTTGTATTATTTTTGAATCTCATTTAGCCTGTGTTCTAATTCCCCAATTGTGGTAATCCTTCTCCCAACAAGATTATTTCTTTGCACCATGAACATTCTGGTCAGATTCTCTGCTTAACCATCTTGACCTCCTGAGCACTCATCTTTGTACCGAGACCCTGATATATGCCCAAATCATGCCCTTCCATA